CACTTGACAGTCCTCGCGCGGCCGATGCGGAGATCTTGAGCCACTGCTTGGCCAGTCGTGTTCGTGAACAGCTCGTGATTCCAATCGCGACCAGCGCGCAAAATCATGCATGCCGTCTTGATTGTTGGGCAAGATTGAGCATCGTGGAGGCATGCGATGAAGCTAGACACACGCCAGAACTACGAGACTCGGGGCGCCAGTCTTCAACCAGCATGGCCATCGCTGACGCGAGGATCTGGTTCTGCTTAAAGGGCGCAATTGATGCATTAGAGGCTTGACCACCTCGCCGAATGCCATCCGCGCAGCACAAATGAGAACGGCAATTTCGCGAGAGCAAGAGAGCCATGAGTCTCGGTGAGTTGTGATAGGCTGAGGCCGCTGCAAGCGCCATGCGTCCGCCGAGCGCGGCGCCGCGACAGGCTACCCAGGCGGCAAGTGCACGACGTTCAAATCAATCATCAGCTGCTGGGCCCAGCCACGAGCCAAAATACCTGATGCAGTCGATAATTTGCAAGTGCGTGCGGCTTGGAAAGTTGGCGCACATCTGTCCGCCGGCCTGAATGTTCAACTCCTACGAGAAAACGCCAGACGGAGAGGTCCATTGCACAGTGCAGGTTCGGGCACCACTGGCGCAACGCGGTCAGCAACATGCACGCTGCGAGTAACGGGCTTGGGAGCTGCGAGTACTTTGAGATCGCGTCCAATATCGCCCGCGCACCAGCGCGAGAGGACAAGGTTGCCCTTCCGATCGCAAGATGCATCTTTTGGGCGACGGGCGTGGGCGATATTGCAAACAGTGGGCCAGGCATGGGGCGCCCTGGCGCAATCGCAAAAAAAAAAAAACGACAACGCCGAGGGCAGCGGTGCCACTGACCGAGATCCTGCCCAGGACCAGGAGGCACTGCACCTGGAGGAAGTCCATGAGCGGCAAAGAAAGCAGCAGGCGATTGAGAACATCATACAGGAACAAGTGCGTCAGCGATGGGCACGCCCGGGCCGCGACGAGCGAAACCAAGAACGGGTGCTGGACCATCGCCGGGCCCCAAGAACTGACAGCGCGCGCTGACTGCGCGCGCTGCTGCGTCGCGTTCTGGGATGTGAGCCGCGAAGGAACGCTTCGCCGCGAGGCCCCGTTGAATCCACGGACCCTCCTCCGAGGCCAGCCCCCCCCCCCTGCTAGACTTGATCGCCGGGGCCGTGATCTCGACGTCGCAGTTGCAATGCCCAAGAGCATGCAGATCCCCTGCTATTCCAAGGCTTGGGCCTGATGGATCTTCGCTTTCAAAGGCGCAACTCCCGATAGGGGGTTCCTCGGGGCGAATTTCCGAGGGGGGGCCCAGCGTCTGCCGCGGCGAGGCATTGAATATAATCTGTGCGCCACGATCGTGGGCTTGCCGCGCGGGATCGCGAAGTTCGCCTGAGCTTGGAGCAGCAGGCCGAAACGCCCTCGCAGGAGTCGATAATGGGAGGCGGCCACGACGCACGTCAGTAGCTGGGTCAAGACGCCGGATGCAACGACGGCCAAGATCCTGCCCGCGAGGTTCGGCGGTAACGCATGAAGCCCAGTGCGTAATCCATGCACGATACATCTCTGGAGCATCAGCGAGAGCTGTCTGATCGTCAAACTGCGGCCCGTGCAGGGCTGAGGTCTAGCCGCGATGATCTGAGTTCATCACCTGGCGTTGCATCATTTGGCGACGCGACTGCGCTGGGCCAGAGCGCCGTCGAGTTGAACTTGAAGGTCGCGGAGGCGACGCCCATCGGCCGGCCGCTGCGTCTCATCAGACCGCGCAAGACATGCACTGGCAGGAGTAGGTCTGGACATGGCCACTGACGATAAGTCAGGAGTCTCTCACCGCAGAATGAGTCCGGGGCAAGGTTTTCAGCGCGCACGACGTCATCGCGCCAAACTACGAAGGGTATATCTGGCAACTTGAAGTCGGCGGGCCTGGTGGCTGGGCGATGCAGGCGCGATCTGATGTCGCGTTGCGCGCGCCATCGTTTCGGGCAAAAGCCATCTAGGCCCTTCCGTCGCAGCGGGGGGGGAACGCGTGGACAAGGCCAGAAGAGGCCCGCGCTCTCTGGCAGATTCGTGGTAGCGTCCTGGGCGCCAGTGCGCGATAGGAAAATGGGAAAACGATCGCTGGCCCGTGCCGCTCTCCGGGAGATCTCGAAGGTCGCTGCGCCGCGGTAGCTGACGCGTCTCTGACAGGCGCGCCCCCGGGCAAGATGAATCGCACAGCGCAGTCGTAGCCGGCAAACCATCCGCCCAAGAACTCCCGCGAAGCATCTGTCGATCAGAAGCCGAATCCGCGGCGGCCGCGCAACGGGCGCCGTCTCCCCCGCGCGCCCCCACGATCGAGTCCAGCGCGTCGCCCCAACGAGGAGTCGGGGCGCGGGTGCGCCCAGAGGTGCGCTGCCCTCCTCAGCGAACACCCCGAGGCATCGCGAGAGGAGGGCGCGGCGGATCGCTGACGGGGCTGAAGTTGTTGAAGTCACCGCTGGAAAGTGCGCTCCAGGCGCCGCGCCTGCCGCGCTCTTATCAGCGGCGCTTCGGTTCGCGACGCGTCGAGCCTGGGGCGCGTTGAAAGCGCGGCGGTGTATATTGCGACGAAAGAAAAGCCATCCTGTCATACCACCTCCATCCAGGAAGCCCGCCCGGGTATCAGAGTGTCCGAGACAGATCATGGCGGCCGATGCGCATGTACTACTTATACATAGTGAGTGATGGATGGATGCTTATGTATACGCATGCTTATACACCTACATGTGCACGCGTGCATATACGCGTCTTTAGCAGGCTGCAGAGCAGTAGCAAACCCACCTGCGCGAGCGCTGTTTCGACCATCCGCAAAGGAAGCACGGGCCGTCGCACCAGGGATACTCCCATGAATGAAAGCGGCCAGCTGCAGCTGGTCACCATGATCTTCCCGCAGCGGGAATCGCGCAACCCGGACGAGGAGAGCGCCGATAAGACATCGCAGTGCTGGCCTTCGCACTTCTTACTTGAAGGAGAGCCCTGGAGCTTTAGGTCGCGACGAACAGATGCCCATCACCGGCGGAGCCACCATTCGGCCATCAGTCCGCAAGCGGGGGCCTGAAGCAAACGCCAAACGAGCTCAATGCGGTCACCAAAGACAATTTGAATAAGCAGATCCACCTTGTCGCGTTGGTTGAGGCGCGCTACCTCGAAGAAGTAGCGGTTGACGGCAATGTTGCCGGGGTCGCGCCGGCGGTGCCTCAATATTGACGAGCTCAACCCAGTAGCGCGAGACTACTCCACGTTCGCGATCGAAGAACCGGAGGGCGCAATTCCTATGAGTAGACTCGTGCTTGATTTGCTGCGATTTGCTTGGATGATTTACCTGGGCACAAATGACGCCAAGCCTGAGCGCCGCCAGGACGAGCAACAGCGACGTGGCGCCATTCACCGTTACCACGAAGAGCGCCGATACTGCGAGTCACAGGATTGGAAGCTGGGACAGGGGGGTCAGAGAAGATGATCTCGAACTAATGGGCGATGCCATTACCTTTGAGCTGGCACTTGCCGTGGGCAATCTTGCACTTCCCCAAGAAGGGGCCAATGCGGGCGCGAATCTCTCCAGTGGGAGCAGGGGCTGATGCGTAGATCTGGACCATGCGAGGACCAGTGTTCCAACTGAACCCAACAGAAGACAAACCAACCACCTCAGGCCCGTCATTCGCATTCGCGAGATCGGATTTGAACTGCTGCTTCGTGTGGTGGTGGGACACAATGGCAGAGTCATGTTCCTTGAACTGCATGGCGAGCACCTCCTAAACATTCCCTGTATACGGGCTTCGGCCGTCCCATGCATATGCGCGATAAACTCCCGGACAACACCCATATGTTGCAGCATGGGGGCCAATGCGTCAGGAACAAACGAGACGACCTTGGATTCTATGTCGGAGGCGATGGAGGTCTGGAGCTGGTTGGATGTATCGTCAATGGGGGGGGGCTTCACCAGCGACATGCTGGCGAACTTCGACATAGATAGACTGCCTGCCATGGCCGTGGGTGTCGATGGCTATGCGTGCGCCAAGGCTGCGAGACCCCTCAGGTTGATGACCAGAGCCAACAACATTACGGGGCCTTGGAGGGGAACTGGAGTTTATGATGGCTCACGAGGGGCTTGCCGTTTTTTCTTTTATTCGTCATCATTCCTGACGTCTTGTTGGACGGGTTTGCAAGATGACGAAACGTCAGAAACGATGTTTGCGTCGCCGCGCGGCAGAGGCAACCCGCACGCGCGCTCGCGCACGCCGGGTGCCGGCATTGCGAATTGACTGGTGGCACGAATGGACAACGGGGGGGGGGGGGGCGCGGCCGCGGGAGACGGGGGGGAGAACTAGAGCGATCACGCGGCGGGGCCCGCTGCAGAACGGCCAAGGCGACCGGCCGGTGCTGCGCCCCTGGCAGCGGGCGCGGGGCGGCGTTGTGGCCACACCCAGGAGCCAGGGCAGCGGCTGCACGGCGAGAAAGAAAAGTACAACAGGAGGAGCGGAGTAAGGTGACGATGGCCACTTGCGGCGCAACCGCGCGCGGCGTCCCATGTGGCAAAATGCTGAAGGACAGAGCTGGGCGGGCTCCAAAGCGTGGGATGTGCTGCAAGCGGTGGCTTCCATGGCGGGAAAAGATGGGGGGGGAATCCCGCCTGACCAGCCAATACGGAAACGGTGCAGGTGGCGGTGTGGGCGCCCGTGCGTCCACCCAGCAAGCCACGACGGCGAAACCAGGAGGGTGGCGCTGGCCCGGGGTAGGCCGCGGCGGGCGGCGGAAGGGCGACCGCAAAAGGGACAAGAACAGGAGAAACCTCTGTTCACCAACCGCCCCGTCTGCGGGATACCATGGCAACTGTTTATCCAAGATCTCACAAGAATGTACAAGCTGGCCGCAGATCAGCGGTCTACTATGTTTCCGCGGAAACGGCACTGCTCCTTCCGCTGCTGCTCCCCTTCTTCTGGCTCCGCCCGGGCCCCGCCTGAGACTCTGCAGCACCCCGACGCCGACCTCGTCGCCGTGGCCTGCGAGCTCTGGCGCGCCACCGCCGCCGCCGCCGTCGTCGTCGCCGCCGTCGTCGTCGTCGTCGGCGTCGTCGTCGTCGTGGTCGTCGTCGACGTCGTCGTCGTGTTCGTCGTGTTCGTCGTGTTCGTCGTATTCGTCGTCGTCGTCGGTCTTCGTCGTCGTCGTCGCGTTCGCACCCCATTTTTTACAAAGGCAAGCGAAGTGTCACCAAACTAGGCCTGCGGCCCCCGAGTTACAACAACAGCGGTTCCCGCCTGATAATTCCTCCCCATGTATTTCAAATGCGCGATCTTGCGCGGGACATCCTAATAACTTATGCAGGACTCGCGCTCTCGCGTGGGACTGCCTCGCAGTTCCACCTGGGCACGCCTTTCCGACCCGCCCGCTAGGGTCTACCCGCCCGATCTGCCAGTCTGGTTCTGGCACGTGTTTTTTGGTTCTAGCCCTTCTGCTAATCTCTCTCGTGCTCCATCCTTCTCCCTCCACCTTCCGTCCGTCCTCTCTTACCTTGTTTGTGGGGCTGCGCCAACTGCACGCGGCAGATAGGGAAGATATACCCACAAGGGGTGTACAATCGAAAACGAATATGGCGGGTACCAAGACTATTGGATATCGGAATTGATTGCCATGCGAGCAGGTGAAAGCGAACAGTCTTAACATAAGTATTGTTGTAGTTGCTGTTGGTGTTGCTGCTGCTTTTGTCGTTTTTGTTTCAATCCTTTGTGGGACATGAGACGCCCCCGATCCGCACCAGGGAAACGGGAAACCTTGGCCCCGCTGGCCAGCGTGTTTTCCCGGGTGAGGATAAATGTCGTCTCCGTCGGGGCTCGCAACACCAATCCCCACCAATGGTGGGTATGCTGAAGAGGCCAGCCCTGCTCTGTCCCACTGCAGGAGTTGCGACGGTTGTGACGATGATAACCCTTCCTCCTCCTGCAGCAGGTCAGTCTGCGCACACTGCCCTCTCTGAACTCCGGCGATTCGGTGGCGATGGTGAAAACCATGAGGACGACGAGGGCGAGCAGCGTTACCGTCCCCTCCTTCTTCCTTTCTCCTCATCCTCCTCCGCCCCCCCCCCCTCGTCGTCGTCGTCCTCCTCGTCTCCCTTTCTCCTGTTCTTCGTCCTCGTCCTGCTCCCTGTCCTCCTCCCGGAACGGGCGGCCTTGCAGCTTCGAGGCGTCGGCCCCGCCGGCCGCGCCCGTCACCCACGCATGGCCGAGGGCCTCGCCCGCGCTGAGC